CAGCAATAGCTAAACTCTAAAAAATGCTAAAGGTTTCAAATTTGAAACAAAGAGAGAAAAATTTTCTGTAGAAGATTTTCTTTTTGAGCAAACGAAACCTTGAAAGTTTTCGCTGAAACTAGATCATGTTCAAAAAAATATACTGTTTTTGAAATAGGTCAGAACGTGTTCAAGATTCCTGAGATATGCACACTTTAACTTTTTAAAGTGCATAAATATTTTTTTGAAGCGGAAACGAACGGTAATGCCGATAGTTATCTACCGTTTCGCAGAGCTCTCTGCTTAAAGTATTCCAAAAAACTCTGAAAAATTATTTTTTACTATCTTTTCATCAGCTGTTTTCGACTGATTAGTACATGTTTCAATATAAACAGCGGATGAATTAGCAATAATTTCTGTTATAATCCTATAGTCATTAAATAATAATTTTGCAACATTTTTAATCACTATTCCGCTTCTTCATTGTTCAAGACTTGTTATTTAATAACAAATTCGGATTTCGAAAATGCCTACCAGGTCTATAGTTTTTTGGAAAACGGCACAAAAATCTAATGTCTTTTTCCAACTGTAATCATAATTCTTCTGCGTAAAATATACAGAAATGTTATCTAATGACATCTTATTAAAACATTTCTAGGATGAACAGCAGTTGATAATTTGTTACTTTCATAATTTTAAAAAATTTTGTCTAAGTTTCGTATTTGTCTCATTTTCGATAATTCGTCGACATTTCAGCGTGTCATTTTATAACATTATGTGATGAAAATAAAACCAACCAGAAATTGTCTTCGTAAATTTTTTGATGCTTTTACGTGACTGGCAATCATGAAAACAAATTCTGTGTGCAGTCTCTGTTCAGTGATTTTTCCGCCTGATATAGTTTAAAATTCTATTGATTGTATTGCTGAAAAGACTAGAATACTTCTTAGTTTCAGTATAAAGTGGAGTCAAAGAATCACGCCAAAAATAAGAAAAGTTTACCAACAAAAATTAGTGTTTCTATTTTAAAATTCTAGCAAAATTTCTCATGTAAATGATGAATTTTTGGGTGGTGACTGTTAGAAGCTGGGATATGATCATACATTAAGTAATACGGACTCAATCTCTTAAACACTGTTTTCCTCATTTCACTATGCCAATAAAGACCGTAACACCAAAATGTGACATCATGATGACCTTCTAAAACACTTGATTTAAACACGTACAAGAACTAAGCTTTTTTAAACTAATCGTAAACACAAATGTCTGAATAATATAAGTAACTTCGCTTTTCAGTGTATTACGTGATGAAAAGAAATTTTGCAAAATGATATCCAGCTTAAGGTTTGAATTTGCCGAAGAGCGATACATAGCTGGTGTAGTGACGGCATATACTGAATGACCCGCAGTACTGCACAGAACAAACGTTATACGTCTTTTCCTTTTTTTCTGAAGGTAGTCTTTAACGGTTCTCTAAATTAAACAGCCGCCGATTCATTACTGTATGAGAAAGCTTGAAAAGTAGTCCTTCACTGTTGAAAACACATTTAAAAGCTGCTATTCTGATAAGCGCTGAGAAGGTAATAATTTTGTATGTTGAATGATATCTAAAAAAACATAATTATAGTTTCTTACTTCTTACTAAACACAACAAGGACTAAATTTTTGATTGTAAGAAAAACTATACTCATTTACAAGAACTGAATTTACGCAATTAGTTCGTACTTTGCATTACAGGATAACTTAGATATACGCAGCCGGTGCACTACTTCGAATTCTCTCAGTAACTTTACGTTTCGACCAATGAGTTTGAAGCGGAAAATGACATCCCTTTTCAAATCTGTTTTCTCGTAAACTAAACTGAGTTACGTCTTATCATTATTGATCAGCTGCACGAATTTGATCGTCATAGTTTTAAAAAAAAATTATTTGATATAAACAGAAGTTTACTTTAAATCTTACTCTTACATTTTTCAATTTTGAAAACGCTGCAGAAATATGTTGTATCAAAACAGTAGCAGATTAGCAAGAGGGAACCGTTCAGCTAAACGTCTTTTTTCTTTTGAGGCAAGTCGCCCTCAGTACATAGGTGGCAGTGTCGTTCGATTTCCCTGTAAGGTTCTTCTGTACTTCATCGGTGTGGAATAGAACTCTTTCAAATTTGTTCATATACTTAGTTTTTTTTTCAGTGGTACTCTATTCTTCGTGCTTCATTGCAGAAGGTGCATTCAACTACATTGAATTTTATTCCTATTTCTCTAGTTCTCTGTACGACCAAACTGAGTATAATGCCTTTTTCAGTGGACTTTCATGCATCAAGCTTTTTTATTTTCTATTTTCTTAGCCTGCATTATAACAGCGAATAGAAATTTGAACAAGCTTGATCTTGGCAAAATTTGTCATAGTTCCTGCACATGTTTTTTCGTTTAGTACTGTGTGGTTCTTAAGCGGTTCTTCATAAGCTATAAGCTCTTCTGGTCATTTCCTTCCAAGAATCAATATTGAAAACAGTAAATTTAGAGGAGAATATAAACAGCTCCTTGAATATTCCAGCTTAAACTTTTTATTATTACGTATGGGAGGGCCTGACGAGGCTATTCCTTCGGGACGACGCGGTATACAGTAACCTTTCACGTTATTATTGAAGCGAATCTCAGCGACCATTACAACTATTGGCTGACCAAGACGGTTGCAGTTCTCTTCCTATAAGTCTCGTTTTTCATTATGAAACTGAAATGCCTTCAAAAGCATAATAAGTCATTAATGGTTGTGAACTTCCTTGTAAATTGTTATTAAATCAGATATTTCATAAACTCTTTATTCTTGAAAACAGCAATATATTATATGTAAATTCAAATTCGCCATACTTTGTAATCCAAACCTCTGCGATGTTTCAAAACTTTTTTTAACATTAGCTTTTATTTTCAGTGATGCTTTCTAAGAATACAATAAAATTATCTACAAAAACTTCTCATTTCCACCACACTCTAGAAACGTATGA